TTTGGCACTATAAAAAGGGGTGTTTGGGTCTGCTTTTCTCACCAATTCACTTCACAACATCCATACTTTCATTGCATTCAAATATCATAATTTTCCATAGCTTTCTAGAGCCATTTGTGTGTGAAGGTTGAGTTGTTCTTGAGCGTACTTAGTTTACTCATAATCTACTCTACAAGAGAGTCTCGTTCTTGAGTGTACTTGTGTTCTTAGACACGTTGAGAGAAAGTATTTCTCTCGTTGATTCAAAGGAAGGTCTGTTTCCTTTGAAGGATTCGTTGAGGTTCGTGTGACTCGAACTCTCAAGTTGTAACGGTTTGTTAAGCACCCGTAAGCTTAACGAGATAGTAGTGTAGCTCGAGAGAGTCTCTCGGGAGGCTGGATTAGCCACAAGTTTTGGTGAACCAGGGTAAAATTCGGTGTGCCTTTTACTCTTCTCTTTACTTCTCTTTTAATTTTTAAATTCCTGCGATTTCTCCGATCAAACGCTATTCACCCCCCCTCTAGCGTTGGTCTATTATTTTAACACTGCTGTCTAGCTTCTCGATCCTTCTTCGTCGTACATTGAAGCAACATAGCAGCCGCTTCTCTAGGTCTTGCCGAATTCACATAGGGAGGGCAGTGACGATTTGCCCAGTGACGGCTCCCAAAACGCGCGACCTTAAATCAGCTAGGTCTCCCAAATCGCACGGCTTCTATTCGGAGATGGCTCCCAAATTGATGGCTCCTTCACCATGCACAGGCTCTCCACAGTGTTGGCACACAATAGGCCCACCACGAGAGACGTTGTTACAACCTTTTCCGGTGTCATTGTGTCCAACAGATTATTGTTGTCCTCTACCAATGTATATTGACCAACCACCATGACCATAGAAATTGTCACCTCATTCATGCAAATTAGATCTAAAGGCATTAAAACTATTGAGGATGCTTTGATCGATTTTGGACACTGTCGATGTAGAGGTCTCAAGGCGTAGTATGATCTCAATATAAGATCTTCCCAAAAGTGTGTTAAGCACATATGTTTTAAACTATGGTGAATTGATACCCCGGACAAGGTATGACTTTTTAGACATATTTGGAACTATTGAGGGTGCTTTGGTCAATTTTAGACACTTTCGATATGGAGGTCTCAAGGCATAGTATGACCTCAATACAATATCCCAACAAAAATAATGTTAAGCACATATGATCCAATCTAAGGTGAATTGAAA